CTTCTTGATGCAGCTCTTTTTTTTTTAAATCCATATGCACAATATGTCAAGTTATATATGATGCTTTATGCACTGATTCATGTTCTATTAAAATGCTGCATTGGTGCGTTGCGCCACGTTTAACATCCTTAACACTGAAATGCTGCTGATCCTCCATGCCACGCGCAGAAAAGAGCTTCGTGAAGACGATTAACCCTCATCCTTCCCTCGCGGGTTATGAGGACCCGAAGCCCTACAATATACCTAATTTTTTTTTCTTTTTCAGAAAGCTTATTTCATGTAATTTTGATCATATTTTTTCTGTTTAATGCATTTTTTTTTGCAATTTTTTATTATTTTATTTACATTTTAAATTACTAGATTTGATCAATAAATAGTAATTTAAGCACATTCCTCTCATTCTTTCAACTTAAATTCAAAATAACTCACAATTTCATGCATAACCCTTTTAATTCAGCTCTAAATATCTAACACTGGGAGTCTTTGAGCTCTTGTGGGAAATAATAATAACACATGATATTTCATAACTCTAGATGGGCTTATAGCTCTATATGGAGAGGAGCTGTCCGCTGGGTCCTAAAGCCAGTTCCTCTTCAGTGTGCGCTCACACACACATGTACACATTATACAGTCATTGTTTTTTGATCATTTTTAGGTTTTTCTATGTGTAATGAAGCATTCCATTCATTCCTAAAAGGGTCAAATTGACTCGCGAGGAAAGGATTTGTTACTTTTTACAATTTTTTATTTTTTGTGTGAGTGTGTGTGTGTGTGTATACGTGGTTCGGGTCAAATTGCCCGAGGGAAGGATGATGCGGGTTTGGATCTGAACTGTGTCTGTGATCTGGACATGTTTCTCCCCTGAGACTGAGAAACGAGTCTCTGTTATTAGTGAGATCTCTGTAAATCACCCGTGTTTCCGACACCGCCGGTTTCCACGTCTTCCGAACGACCTTCCTCACATTCAGCTCAGGTTTACACTAGTCGAAGTTTACAAATGTTGGTTAGCAGGGTTAGGACCGTCGATCGTGTGCCTCCCGGAGGTCGACGGGAAGGACCTTTCCAGTGTGTGTTCAGGTCAGTGTGTATGACGTTCCTGAAGAACTCGTGATCGATCTACAGTGTTTTGAGTGTTGTCTGTTTTGTTGCTTTCGAGTGAGATGTGACGATACTGCACCTTGTGTTTGACCCACTGAATAAAAGCTCTATCTCAGACACGAATCCTGACCTTTGACCTCTTACACTGCCACAATGCACTTAAACCTGTACGTACCAAACTGATGCTTAAACCCAAGGTGCACTGACAATCACACATCATCATCATCACGTCAATAAAAGTGATCTTTTCAAAATGCATACAGGCTTTTTATGTTTAATTCTGTACATTTATATTAGTTTCACTTATAAATGTGCATTTCTAGATTGAGGCAGTTTGACCTGTTAACTGAAACCCGTTTCCCCGCATTAGATTAGTGTTGAAATGCACTTTTCTAAACTTAAATGGTTGTAATTCCAATGCTTTGGACCTTATGCTGGTTTTGATTTAAAGAAGACACTTGGCAGATTATTGTAGAAGTGAAATAAATTATGAAAATGAAACATTTGTATGAAAATGTCAAATGTAAGAAGTTCAAGAACATAATATTTATATAAAATATACATTTTACAAAACATGTTTTACTTTTACTCTAAAACTGCAAGAAAATCAAAGCCATAAATCTGAACAAGTAGTGTTTTAAATTTGAGGTTGACATCTTTATTTTGAAAACCCGTCACCAAATATGAAAACTAGAGATTGTAAGCTTTCAAGTGATATATAGTTTGTCAAGATTAGTTTAGGTTTAGTATAGGATATTAGAGTTTTAAATATGTAATGGCGGTGGGCCGGTGACACTCAACAAAATGACATGCATTGAACACTACCGTAAAAATATTTAGATTTGTGTATTTTGATGCTCCAGAGCTCTATAGGTTTGTGTTATGACAGACATTTCAGTCATATTTCTGCTGTAACACGGTGTTCACACACACACACACACACACACACACACACACACACACACACACACACACACACTAAACAAACAGCAAGTCTGGATAATGAAGGCGAGGTTGCACGTGTCGGCCACTAGAGGCCGCTGTCGCTCTTCTGATCGCTACGTGATGACGTCACGACGACCGTTGGATTCAGACTGTCGCCTCACAGCACAGGTGAGCAGTTTTAACTCTCTCGGGGCCTCAAAAGGTAGACTTTTATGAATTAGCCTATATAGTTAAAGTCCCCCTGTGGTGCAAATCAAGTTTTTAATGGTGTTTATGTGTCTATGTGGTGTGTTTAATACGCTTTAACACACACCATGTGTAAGTTCATAAGTCGACAGCATTGCTGAGTATTTTCTGCTTAAAACTGCAGTGAACCAAAGACAGTCTCAAAAACACGGTTTGAAATCGCTGGTGTTTCTGACGTCACAAACGACCTTGTAACCAATCAGATCAACGTGTGATCGTCAACCAGTGGATCGCTGAGTGAGTGAGTGGAGGCGGGGCTCATTTGCATATTCATAGAACCACGCATACTAAATGAGGCAAGGGAGTCGAGTTACATTCAAGATATTTTAAGGCATTTTTGAAAGAAAACATTTTTAAATGTCATTTTGGTGATCAAATATGAGTTTTAAGGGAGACAATTATTGACTTCAGGGGGACTTTAAATATAGCCTTATATATGGCAAGATTGCTGAAGGCATTAGAGCTCTATTTTGATTTTGATCAGTTTACATTATTACAGATTGAATTAAAAGATCAATTAAGAGTTTCTTGATCTTTTTTATATTTTATTTTAGTAAAAAAATCAAGAGAGAACTAGACAAAGACTGAGTGTGTGTGTGTGTGTGAGAGAGAGTGAGTGTGTGTGTGTGTGTGAGAGATAGTATGTGAGCGTGTGTGTGTGTGTGTGTGTGTGTGTGTGTGAGAGAGAGAGTGTGTGTGTGTGTGTGTGTATGAGTGATTGTGTGTGGTGTGTGTGTGTGTGAGTTATGGTCAGTTTCCAGCATTCAGACTCCGATCAAATCTGAGGCACAAACTTTGCATCTGCAGTTTCAACTTTAAGCAGGAAAACGTCTCAAGATTATATTTTATGTAACCAAAATAATCGATTAAATGATTTAATACTTTATTTTTGTCATATTTACAGTGATGAATTCCTCATGGCTCCATGTACATTTCTAAGACACTGAACACCCTCTTACTCTAAAGATATTTTTTACAACTTTAACAAAAAATATTTTTAAGAAGCAATTAAGAAATCCTGTAAGAAGCAGTGAACGTATGATTCATGACCTGGACGATTGTACACGAGCTCATATAGATCTGATTGTCATTAAAACAACATTTGGCATCATAACAATCATATTTACAGTGAAAACAACTGTACAGAATCTCCTGTCATGATGCGCTGCGAATATAAGTCAGAAATAACCAATAACACCATTCAAACGAAATACTTGAGGTCCATTTTACATTCATATAAAATACAGAAGTGTTATAATGTTTTAAATGCTGATTTCAAGAAGAACTGAAGCACATGAGCGCAAGTTTAAACATGAGCAGATCTTTCACGATTCAATTTTAATATGCAATCATTTAATATTTTCTAAATGAAACTATAATAAGCCTGGTGATGTATTTTAGTTGATAGATACAGCAGAAGTCTTGAGTTTGGATGAAAGCACTATTATATCACGACACTGGTTTATTCATCTGATGATTCAAGGTGTTCAATAATATCTGATATGATTTCCACACGTTTCTGCTTCAATAAACACATACGGTAGACATGACACTGTGAAATCCATCCGAGTGGCTTTTCCTAAAGGATTCGGCCACTTCAGAATTAACATATCCTGATCATTTACTCATCCAAGATGTTCATGTGTTTCTTTCTTCAGTGGGAAAGAAATGAAGGTTTTTGAGGAACACACTCCAGGGTTTCTCCATATAGTGACTTCAATGGGGTCCAACGGGTCGAAGGTCCAGATGTGAGTTTCAGTGCAGCTTCAAAGTCTCGACACGATCCAGCCGAGGAATAAGAGTCTGATCTAGACAAACCAGCGGACATTTTATAAAAATGCTAACAATGTTATTTCATTCTAATTCATGCTATCGACGTGCTAAAACATGATAACAATGTTGAGCAATTCTAATTAATGATAGCAACGTGCTAAAACATGCTAATTCATACAAACAACGTGGTAAAAAATGTTAATTCATGTCAACAATGTGATAAAACATGCTAACAACATGCTAATTCATGTTAGCAAAATGGCGTCCAACAGGTAATACTTTAATAAAGCGCACGAGTCTCAGCCACACACTGAGATCATCACAATACAGTAGTTAAGTGTAATTTATTCCTGTGATCAAAGCTTTAAATTAATTAGCATGTTGTAGCAAATTGCTAACATGAATTAACATATTGCTAAGATGAATTAGCATGTTGTTAGCATGTTTTATCACATTGTTGACATGAATTAGCATGTTTTAGCACGTTGTTTGTATGAATTAGCATGTTTTAGCACGTTGCTATCATGAATTAGAATGAAATAACATTGTTAGCACAATAACATTGTTAGCATCAGACTCTTATTCCTCGGCTGGATCGTTTCGAGACTTTGAAGCTGCACTGAAACTCACATCTGGACCTTCGACCCGTTGGACCCCATTGAAGTCACTATATGGAGAAACCCTGGAGTGTGTTCCTCAAAAACCTTCATTTCTTTCCCACTGAAGAAAGAAAGATATTAATATATTGGATGACGTGGGGGAGAGTGAACTATCAGGACATTTTAATTCTGAAGTGAACTCCTCCTGTAAAACATAGAGGGATTTTAAACTATTCATTAAATACTGAGCAGTTCAAAGGTTCCTCTTACATACGGCTTCTCAAAAGAGTGTCTATGCTATTGAAGAAACTGTGTGAAATGCTGCTGTTTGCATCAGGACTGAAGCACAGATGCCTCGGGCGGGTCAGAACTCGTCCTCGGAGCTGTCGGCCAGTAGCATGGCGTTGTCCGGGCCGCTACGCACTTCTCTGGGCGGCTGAAGAGGACGAACATTGAAGAAGAGTCACAAGATTAAAACCATCAGTACTCAAGCTAATCTGCTGAAGCTTTCATCAGGCTCAAATGATAGATTGATAACACAATTACCATGTTTTTAACAAGATGTTAACACTATTCGCATTTTGCTAGCATGATGCTAACATGATTACCATGTTCCTAGCATGATGCTAGCACATTTTGACTTGTTTTTATCATGTTTTAACCCTAAGCTAATTGCAATTAGCATGTAGCTATTCACTGCTAGCATGTGTAGCAAAGTCACAAGATTAAAACCATCACTACTCAAGCTAATCTGCTGATTTGGTTTGTACGTTATGCAACATTGAGGTTTCATTCACTCTTGCCACTGTTTCGGCTCTATTCAGAAACAGAGAACTGTCCTCTGGTGTTTGAAGCCGTCTCTCCTCTTACAGTTCCTGAAGAAAATGCGAGTGGTGCTCGCCGTGTGCAACTACACTACCCCCCGCACTCCTAGCATGCTTTTAACAAAATTCTAACATGATAAGCATGTTGCTAGCATGTTTGTAGCAAGATGCTAACATTATGAGCATGCTGATAACATGCTTTAACTAGATTCTAATATGATTAGCATGTTGCTAGCATTTTTTAACAAGATGTTAACATTATTAGCATGTTGCTAGCATGTTTGTAGCTAGATGCTAACATGATTAGCATGTTGCTAGCATGTTTTTAGCAAGATACTAACACAATTAACATGTTGCTAACATGATTAACGTGTTGTTGACCTGATGTTAACATGATTCCCATGTTGTTAGCATGTCTTTAACAAGATGTTAACACGATTGACATTTTGTTAACATAATGCTAACATGAAGAGGATGTAGCTTGCATGTTTTTAACATGATTAGCATGTTTCTAGCATGGCTTTATCAAGATGTTAACACAATTAGCCTGTTGCTAACATGATGGTAGTGCTAACACCAGTGCTAACACATTTTGACTGGTTTTTATCATGTTTTAACCCTAAGCTAATTGCAATTAGCATGTAGCTATTCACTGCTAGCATGTGTAGCAAAGTCACAAGATTAAAACCATCACTACTCAAGCTAATCTGCTGATTTGGTTTGTACGTTATGCAACATTGAGGTTTCATTCACTCTTGCCACTGTTTCGGCTCTATTCAGAAACAGAGAACTGTCCTCTGGTGTTTGAAGCCGTCTCTCCTCTTACAGTTCCTGAAGAAAATGCGAGTGGTGCTCGCCGTGTGCAACTACACTACCCCCCGCACGCCTAGCATGCTTTTAACAAAATTCTAACATGATAAGCATGTTGCTAGCATGTTTGTAGCAAGATGCTAACATTATGAGCATGCTGATAGCATGTTTTAACTAGATTCTAATATGATTAGCATGTTGCTAGCATTTTTTAACAAGATGTTAACATTATTAGCATGTTGCTAGCATGTTTTTAGCTAGATGCTAACATGATTAGCATGTTGATAGCATGTTTTTAGCAAGATACTAACACAATTAACATGTTGCTAACATGATTAACGTGTTGTTGACATGATGTTAACATGATTCCAATGTCGTTAGCATGTCTTTAACAAGATGTTAACACGATTGGCATTTTGTTAACATAATGCTAACATGAAGAGGATGTTGCTTGCATGTTTTTAACATGATTAGCATGTTTCTAGCATGTTTGTAGCAAGATGCTAACATTATGAGCATGCTGATAGCATGTTTTAACTAGATTCTAATATGATTAGCATGTTGCTAGCATTTTTTAACAAGATGTTAACATTATTAGCATGTTGCTAGCATGTTTTTAGCTAGATGCTAACATGATTAGCATGTTGCTAGCATGTTTTTAGCAAGATACTAACACAATTAACATGTTGCTAACATGATTAACGTGTTGTTGACATGATGTTAACATGATTCCCATGTTGTTAGCATGTCTTTAACAAGATGTTAACACGATTGGCATTTTGTTAGCATAATGCTAACATGAAAAGGATGTTGCTTGTATGTTTTTAACATGATTAGCATGGTTTTATCAAGATGCTAACACAATTAGCCTGTTGCTAGCATGATGGTAGTGCTAACACCAATGGTAACACATTTTGACTTGTTTTTATCATGTTTTAACCCTAAGCTAATTGCAATCAGCATGTAGCTATTCAATGCTAGCATCTGTAGCAAAGTCACAAGATTAAAACCATCAGTTCCTAAGCCAATCTGATGAAGCTTTCAAAGGGCTCAAATGATAGCATTGGTGTGCACGTTGTGTAACATTGAGACGTGATGATTTGATGCTATGCTTGACTCTTGCCAGTGTTTTGCCGCGTACCTTCCTCCTCTGGTGTTTGAAGCTGTCTCTCCTCTTGCGGTGGATCAGTCTGATGCTGTAAAGAGCACCGACCAGCAGAAGAGCACCAGCTATCCCGATGCCAACCGGCGCCAACATCCCCGACACGTAACCAGCCTACCGGGGGATCATCAACAGGTTTTAATGTTTTAAGAGTCTCTTCTGCTCACCAAAGCTGCATTTATTTGATCAAAAATACAGTAAAAACAGTGAAATATTATTACAATTTAAAATAGCCGTTGTCCATGTGAATATGTAGTCAATTGTTTATTCCTGTGATCAAAGCTTTAAATTAATTAGCATTTTTTAGCACGTTGCTAGCATGATTTAGCATGTTGTTAAAATGTTGTAACACATTGCTTACATGAATTAGCATGTTGTTAGCAGTTTTTAACACATTGCTACTATAAATAAACATGTTTTAATATTTTTGCTAACATGTTTTAACACATTCCAAGCACAAATTAGAATGAATTAGCATATTGTTAGCATGTTTTAACACATTGCTAACATGAATTATCTTGTTGCTACCATGAATTAGTACATTGCCAACATGTTTTAACATGTTTCTAACAAGAATAAACATGTTTTAGCACTTTGCTAGCATAAATAAGCATGTTTGTTAACATGTTTAACATGTTGTTAACATGAATCATAATCAAAACAATGAAAATATTGTTGGCATGTTTTAACACATTGTTAGTATGAATTAGCATGTTGTTAACATTGCATATTGTTAAAACATTGATAACATGAATTAACATTTACCTGGCATGTTTTAGCACTGCTAACATGAAAGACCATGAATTGCTAGCATGTTTTAGCACATTGCTAGCATGAATTAGTATGTTGCTATCATGAATTAGCATGTTGCTAGCATGTTTTAACATGTTGTTAACATTAATCAGAATGAATTAGCATATTGTTAACATTTTTTAACATGTTGTTAGTTTGTATCAACATGTAGCTGTTTTACCACACGGCTAACATAAATTAGCATGTTGTTAGCATGTTTTAAAACATTGCTAGCTTAAATCAGAATGTTGATATCATGTTTTAGCACACTGCTAACATGAATTAGCCTTTTGGTTACATGTTTTGGCACTGTTAACATAGATTAGAATTAATTTGCATATTGTTAACATGTTTTAACACGTTGCTAACATGAATTAACATGTAGCTAGCATGTTTGAACGCTGCTCACATGAATTACCACACGGCTAACATGTTTTAACACATTGCTAACATACATTAGCATGTAGCTAGCATCTTGTAGCACGGTGCTAACATGAATAAACAGGAATTTACACTACTATAAATTCATATAGAAACAGCTATTTTAAATTGTATTAATATTTCAGTGTTTTAACTGTAATAGACGCTTTCGGAAACATGGACTAGTGTTGATATGAGCATGAACATGCGCACCTTCTCTCGGATCAGCTCCACCCAGCTCCGCACTGCACACAGCAAACACAGAGCGTTAGTAGTGAAGCTCCTGACGAGACTCACGCTAGCATGGCTGTGTGTGTGTGTGTGTGTGTGTTCTCACCGAGGCCCTGGTTCCGCTGCACCCAGACGGGGGGAGGGGGGATCAGGCTGTAGGGCGGCCGCGTGTGTGGAGCCAGGGTGCTCTCCATCAGGTCCTCCTCACTCTCCTCCTCAGACTCCTCCTCTTCGTCTTCATCAGGCTCCTCTGTAAGACAGAGACGTCGGTTCAGCTCGCGGCGTGTCAGAAACTAGCGCTTTAAACGCACGCGCACCAACCTTCGTGATCGTCCAGATCTTCGTGAACGACCGCCAGAGTCTGAGGGGTAACTGAGCTCTGTGTGATGTCATCGTCTGCAGGACCAATCAGAACGCTTTACAAAAACACATTCGTTCATCTTGTAGAAGCTGATATGATGTTAAGGTGTTTCTAATCTAATGTTTAGTTTTTATTTAATTATGTTGGCTTGACCTTCTGTTCTATATCTTTTCTAACCGCTCCGACTTACGGTTTTCCTAAAAATTACGATTGAAAATCATAAAAAATGCTATTGACTTACATTGAGGGGGTCAAAACTTGAATTCAATAACTCTATTAGTATTTAAGCTACATCCACTACGTATCTATCCCTGGGAAAGCCTAGCAACTAGCTTAGGACATGTTAACAACAAGCTAAATCATGCTAGCTACATGTTAATTCATGCTAGCAAAGTTTAATTTCCTGTTAGCAAAGTGTTAATTCCTATTAGCAGTGTGCTAAATCATGTAGCAACATGTTAATTCATGCTAGCAACATGCTAAATCATGCTAGCAACATGCTAAGTAATGCTATCAATGTGCTAAAACGTTAGAAACAGGTTAATTCATGAAAGCACTGTGTTAAATCATGTTAGCAGCATGTTAAAACATGCTAGCAGTGTGCTAAATCGTGTTAGCAACATGTTAAAACATGTTAACAATCTGTTAAAACATGCTAATAATCTGTTAAAACATGCTAATAATCTGTTAAATCATGCTAACAACATGTTAAAACATGCTAGCAGTGTGCTAAATCATGTTAACAACATGTAAAAACATGTTAACAACATGATAAATAATGCTAGCAGTGTGCTAAATCATGTTTGCAACATGTTAAAACATGCTAACAATCTGTTAAATCATGTTAACAATGTGTTAAATCATGTTAACAACATGATAAATCATGTTAGCAACATGTTAAAAAAGCTAGCAATGTGTTAAATAATGCTAGCAACATGCTAATCATGTTAACCACATGTAAAATCATGTTAGCAATATGCTAACAATATAATAAAACATGTTAGTAATCTGTTAAATTATGCTAGCAGCATGCTAAAACATGCTAGTAACATGTTTTACTGTCTCTGAGTAAAACCTTCAAACGTCAAGCTCTTCAAAGTTATTTTAAACTTTCAGACCTGGCTTTTTTTTTAAAGTTTCAAAAGTTTGTCCTCAACCTTTACTCATCTAGTTATTATTATATGATTTGGAAGCATCCTCACTTCGCTCCAGTGACGGATCAGGTTCTGTGACGGAGGCTCTCGCTCCAGACGTCTGCCAGTCCAGCGTTCCTGAGAGAAGGACATCAGAGGAAGTGTGCACCGTATCCATGGACACCATCCGCTCAGTGTCTCCCGTCGTCACGGCAGCCGGCGCCACGGTGACGGACACTACGGATGGCGATGCGACGTCCTCGAAGATCAGTGGCAGGTCTTCGGATGGCATGGTGGCCTCGGTGCCCAGCTCCAGCACGCTCACTGCTTCTGGAAAAGGGAAATGCAAAGCCAAGAACATCAAACACAGAGCCGTGAACATTAATAATGAACGTGCAGACGCCTCTTTTAGCAGTCAGCTCCACTTTCCGCCAGTACAACTCAAAATAGAACGTAATTAGGCTGCCGTCGGCGTCCGCTGGGGTTCACAGTGCTACTCCACTCATGCAAATGTTTTCAGCCCAGAACCAGAACTCTACACTCGTATTTTACTACAACTATTGGCTCTGTTCTTTCACGAAATACTTCATGGACAGATACACTGTTGTTTAACGTTACAATCATAGACTGTAAATAAATAGTGTGTGTGACGTCACCCGTAGTGTTTCCGAAGAGCGTTTTTGAAGCCCAAAGTGGGCGGAGCCGGCCGTCGCCATCTTGGCCGCGTCACTCCCGGATAAACGTAAATGTGCAGCGAGGCGGATTAGCTGAGGTGACGTGACGCTAACACACAGCAGACAAACGGCTAGCAGTGACATCAGCGGCAATCCACCTGTCACTCAAGTGGCCACGCCCTTAATTATGCACAACTTTAAGGCTTAATATCATTTTAACGGATGAGTTAAAAAAAACACCCCGCTCACAGTCGTCATGAAGGACAAAATTAGCGATATAGACCAAAACCACTTTTTGCACCAGACTGTAAACATGTTTTATTCTGCTGTAAAGTCGGCCATTTTAACATGCGGGTCTATGGGAGTGAGTCTGTTCTGCAGCCGGCCTCTAGTGGCCAGTCGATGAAATTAATGTTCTATATTTTAGTTCGATTATGTTTTTTATTTAATATTTTGTATTTTTAGGGGATTTATAGTACTAAATTATATTTACGCTGTATTTATAATCCATTTATTCACTTTTTGAGCACAGACCTGAAAATTAAATGTCCATCTTAAACTGTGGATAATCTCTAACGCTTTAGAGCGACAGACTGAAGTTTGATCTCTTTTCAAAGACGACACTCGGCAGATTATTGCTGAAGTAAAAAAGTTTTAAAAAGTGAATTTTAAAAAAGGTACAGAATTGTACGTGTATTGTTATAAAAAAATTTGCAAAAATAACATTTTTTATATATTTTCAAAAACACGTTTTACTCTAAAACTGCAAGAAAACCAAAGCCATAAAGCTAAGCAAGTGTGTGTTCCGCATGTGAGCTGATCTCTCAGTAAAGGAGCGTTCAGGGAGAGTGTGTTCGGCTGCAGTTCCAAACGCTTCCACTAGAGGAAACTCTCCATTCATTTCCAATGCGGCATTTCTGACCGCGAGGAGCACAAGTGGGACTATTGTTCACAGCACCATTAAACCTGTTCAGATCAGGCCCATGATTTATGTGTGTGTTCACACAGCAAGAGCCAAACCCTTTACCAAGTTTCGTACCATTCCGATAAAGTAAAAAATTCTAAAAAAAACAAAAAGTAAAGTTTTTCGGTCAAAAGTGACCGTAGAGCACCAGAGAGTTAAGTCACTTCCGTGTTGGTTTCAGGAGAGAGATCGGAAGGTTGCCGCTTGGTTAAATGCGTGTCGATCACTGACCTGTCCGCAGATGGACCGGTTCCGTCCACGTATCGGCCGCGTCCAGCAGTTTCGGGCCAGACGAGTCTCCGCTGGGAACGCCGGTCAGCGAGTCCGGAGGAGTCTGGAGTGTGTCGGCCCTCGGAGAACACGGGAGAGAGTCCGTTGAGTCGCTCGTTCGCTCGTCCCCGTCCGCCGCCGCTCTGCCGAAGCCGTCGGGTTCCCCGCGCGTAACTCTCGGAGCCGAGGTCTGAGCCGCCTCGGGATCTCGTGAGCTGATGGTCAACAAGGATGAGTTGGAGAATGAGTCGGGTGAGTGAGTCCTGCTGTCGTTATCATCTCCTCGTCCTTCATCCATCGACTCCTCGAGCGTCTCCCGCGCGACGGCAGAGACACACACCGCGGCCAACAGGAGACCGCGCAAACTCAACATAGCGGATCCGTCACTCGAGCACTCGGAGTCCGGAGGCGAAGTTAAACGTGAGCCGGTCCGAAACACTCAAGCACACTTCCTAGAGACAGGAGCAAGCGGAAGGAATCCAGTGTGCGGTGCTATAAATGACAGATTCACATATACAGTCATACAGTCGAACCAAACATTATTCACACACCACACATCATTTTAGATATGTTTCACTAGTGTGTGCAGGACACTATAGTTCATGTATGTGAGTGAGGAGAGCAAAATAAAGGAAACTGTGACATATTACACCCAATATCTCTTCATACAGTGACTACCAGTAACAATGATTCCTCCACTTTGAGCTGATCATGTTTTGCTGAAGTGTGTTTTCTGTAATTGCTAATGCTCTTTTTACACACACACTAAACAACATGAAGCATTGCTTGGTCACTGGTTGAGCTAAACTGGTATTATCTAATTGTGTAGTTCAATTTAACAGCTGACAGATATTCAACATAATTCATGTGTGAGAGTCTAACAGAAGGACGGACAAAACCAGTCAAATATCCACTGAGTTCTGCTCATATTTATCACCATTTTCTAAACTATAGCGAATAAACTGATAATGTGAGAGATGTTGAAGTGTGTGAATACATTTTGGTTTGCCATAAGAATGAGTCTGGCATTCATTGGTTTTAAACAGACTGACTGAATTGGCTTTACTGTTTCTTCATCAGATATTGAACATTATTGAACTGATCTGAATCAACATTGATCTGAATAATGACACTATTAGAGCTGAATGTGTCTCATATTTGAGTTTTCATCCTTGATTCTGTTGTTTCCCTCTTTATGACAGAAGCCGTATAGACCAATTTTGAGCCGGCGTCACAGTTACGTTTTGCTGGAGGCAAAGCTAGCGCACAACTGGAGGCGGCTAACACAAACCAGCACAGATTCGGCTACATAAGGAGCTTAAATTATTATTATTATTATTATTATTAAATGTCATCTTGTTGTGTTGTTGGGTGCAAGAATCAATGAAAAATGAATGTGCTGCCTCTGAAATGTTTATTTCTAGAAAATATTCACCTCATGAACATCGCAGCGTAATGTCACTCACCGTCGTCTTCTCGGCGCTGGCTCGGCAGAACTGCGGATCGCACACAAGCCTTTACGTGACCATCCAGCACACAGTTATTATAGGCATCTACAGATGTGCCCTCAGTTTCTCTTTACGCTCGGCTTCTCTATCGGATAGGTGTGGAAGTCCGGCCACTCGACCGGAGTTAGCGTTAGCGTTAGCGTTAATCCTGTCAGATCGTCCATCATTGAGTGAGCGTGTACGGGTCGGCCAATCTGGTTCCGTCCGTTAAAATTAACTTTTGCAAAAAACAATCGCGGTCCTGGACACTGAGTGGCCTTGCACATTAAGATCAAATCGGATTTTCTCCAGTCATTGTTAAAAAACAAGCTAACAAAACTTGCAAACTAGCGTTAGTGAAGCGGGAAGAGGGATCGTTCTGCCTCCACCTAAGCTCCGCCCACCTAAGCTCCGCCCACCCAAGCTCCGCCCACCTAAGCTCCGCCCACAAAAACGTCACCATGTTTACCAACTGAAAAGGGGTCTATATGGTAGTCAACGGGGACCAGATGATGTCTGGTTCAGATATCTTCTATTGAGTTTAACAGATCAACTGACTCATACAGGTTTATAGAAACTTTTTGGGTGAACTATTCCTTTAAGAGATAATAAATGTGTAGCATTTTTAAGGGTATATTATTTAAATCCAATAATTTGATCTCTTGAAACTCATCTTTGATCACCAAAATGACATAAAAAAAGATTCCTTCATGCCTTATAATATCTTGAATGTAACTCGACACCCTTGCCTCATTTAGTATATGCTGGGTGGTGATGGCACAGTGGATAAGACACATGCCTTTGGTGTGAGAGACCCGGGTTCGAATCCACTGTGAGACACCAATGTGTCCCTGAGCAAGACACTTAACCCCTAGTTGCTCCAGAGGCGTGCGACCTCTGACATATATAGCAATTGTAAGTCGCTTTGGATAAAAGCGTCAGCTAAATGAATAAATGTAAATGTAAACATGCATATTCTATGAATATGCAAATGAGCCCCGCCTCCACTCACTCATGCCATGTCATGTTATGTGGCAAGAGTCCGTGTAATAAGTGTATAATGTACATCCAGCCGATTGTTATCTCAGAATAAACCCCTTCAGGTGTGTGTGTGTGTGTTATCTCAGAATAAACCCCTTCAGGTGTGTGTGTGTTATCTCAGAATAAACCCCTTCAGGTGTGTGTGTGTGTGTGTGTGTGTGTTATCTCAGAATAAACCCCTTCAGGTGTGTGTGTGTGTGTGTTATCTCAGAATAAACCCCTTCAGGTGTGTGTGTGTGTGTGTTATCTCAGAATAAACCCCTTCAGGTGTGTGTGTGTGTGTGTGTTATCTCAGAATAAACCCCTTCAGGTGTGTGTGTGTGTATGTGTGTGTGTGTGTGTGTTATCTCAGAATAAACCCCTTCAGGTGTGTGTGTGTGTGTGTTATCTCAGAATAAACCCCTTCAGGTGTGTGTGTGTGTGTGTGTTATCTCAGAATAAACCCCTTCAGGTGTGTGTGTGTGTGTGTGTTATCTCAGAATAAACCCCTTCAGGTGTGTGTGTGTGTTATCTCAGAATAAACCCCTTCAGGTGTGTGTGTGTGTGTGTGTTATCTCAGAATAAACCCCTTCAGGTGTGTGTGTGTGTGTGTGTTATCTCAGAATATACCCCCTTCAGGTGTGTGTGTGTGTGTGTGTTATCTCAGAATAAACCCCCTTCAGGTGTGTGTGTGAGTGTGTTATTATCTCAGAATAAACCCCCTTCAGCTTCACGTCAGGTCCTCATCATCATCGGGGGTTATTTTGAGAGAATCACCGGCTGGATGTACATTATCCCTTACTGAATGCATTCATAAATGCATATGTTTTACTGACGTATTCCAATGATTATTATTTATATATTTATTGTATTAAAGAAGAAAATATTATGAAACATTGGCTCTGTATATTGTTATAGCACAGTATACTATCTCTAGAATTGTTGGATGTATATTCAAGATTTTATTGTTTTTTGCTGCTGGTTTAACCACCCATTTGGTCCTGGTCTACATTTCCCTGCTCTTTCTGCAGCAGTAACTTGACACACACACACACACACTACTGCATTTCTCTGCCAGTGTCTAAAAATAGCACGGAGACAATGCGCCCTACTGTATCATCCATTAGGTTTCCAGGCAGTTATGTTTATTGATCATTAATCAAATGCGTGATGTATATAATATAATATAACATGCGTACTGTAATGGCGTGCATTAATGCATTACATTTTCTCTGTCACAGAACACCTCATATGTCTGATTCAGGCACTATTATAATATGCTGCGTAATTTCTTTCCATGTGAGTGCGCAATGGCCAGACTCTTGCTCTCCCGCGTCACGTGCATGCGGACACTGATGCTCTTCTGGACAACTTTAATATGAAGTAAACAAACACAATGGCACATCATCGCAGTAATGACGCAGATGCTCACCTGCTGTGTGTGAACGCGGATCAGGCTCATGTCCAGTGCACGCGCAGTGTTTCAGTCACCCGTCCCCGCTCTTAAGAGGCATTATAAGCGCTCGTTGCTGTTATTCCTCTGTCTGCGTCAGCTCATGCCACACTGAAGTTTCCTCAGTCTGAATCTCGTCTGCATCTGCGCAGTCGACTACAGCCAGCTCACTGACAGCGCGGGAAACTTCAATAATTAACGCTCTAGTTCATTTTTAAAGGTGCAGTGTGTAATATTTAGGAGGATCTGTTGACAGAAAAGCAATATCATATACATAACTATGTTATCAGTGGTGTATAAAGACCTTACATAATGAACCGTTATGTTTTTATTAGCTTAGAATGAGGCGTTTCTCTCTACACACACCGCGCGTCCGCTTACATCCACATGTTTACGGTGGCCCTGAACGGACAAACGCGTTTCGTCACTATGTTGTTCTTCGTGTAAAGAAGCTGCTAAAGCCAGCGAATAAAACACTGACACAATGATAAACAAGTAACAATAATATTCGCAATAAAATATCGTTTTACTGAATGATTAAGTAAACCTAATTTGTTAATTTATCTTTGTAAAGAAACCTCATTGCGTAACTGGCGACTGTCTGCTGTCTCAGACGACGACATCACTTCCTGTCGGCCACCGTAACTTCTGTTGGGTGCAGTTCGCAACCTCACCACTAGATGCTGCTACAATTACACACTGCACCTTTAAATAGTATTAGTATTTGTTTAATGATAAAACTATTTGACATGTTTTTTTTTCATCAAAAACGAACTTTATTTGCATTAATACAAGCATGCATGCAACAAAAACATCTACAATGCTAATTCCAAATAGCATAGGCTATACAAAAATGTAATAGGTTATTTTCGATGAAATAAAATAAAAATGGAATCAATTGAATTAGGATATCTAGAAACTTTTGCTAAAGCTTTAAAGGGATCGATCGCCCAATCATTTAATCACCCTCAAAATAATCTGAAGAATGTTTGTAAGCAAAAACGAATGTTTTTTGGGCACCATTGACTTCCATGGTATTTCCCCCTCCACACTATGGAAGTCAATGGTATGGAAGCTCGTTTCCGCCACAGAATAAACAACAAACTTTTTTCACAATTCCGAGTTTACATCTCACAATTCTGAATTGGGTGATATAAAGTCGCAATTGCGAGTTGTAAAGTCAGAATTGCGCGATATAAAGTCGCAATTGCGTGTTATAAAGTAAGAATTGTCAGATAAATGTGCAATAAACTTGCAATTCTGACTTTTTTCTCAGAATTTAATGTTTATATCTCACAATTCTGACTTTATAACATGCAATTGGGTGCGTGGTGTAAACTCGCAATTGCAAAAAAAAGTAAGAATTGCAAGTTTATTTCTTGCAATTGTGAGTTTATCTCGCAATTCTGACTTCATAACACGCAATTGCGACTTTGTATCACGCAATTATGACTTTATATCTCGCAATTCTGAGAAAGATGTAAACTTGAAATTTTGAGATAAAAAGTCGCAAATATTTTTTTTTATGTTTTATTCTTTGGGGACAGAAACAAGCTTCCATAAAATGGTGCAGCACAACTGTCTAGTATTCAAACATTCTTCAAACATTCTTCAAAATATCTTCCATTGTGTTCAGCAGAACAAATAAACTCATACCAGTTTGGAACAACTTGAGGGTGTTTAAATGATGACAGAATTTTCATTTTTGGGTGAATTATCGCTTTAAAAGTAGTGATTCGTCAAATTAATTTCTGAAGGCGCCTTGGCTCAAAGTGTCCACGGAGAGCTGATCTAGGTTCAGTGTCATCCGCCCAAATCCCACGCATTCAAGCGGACAGTAAACTGTGAAGAACTGATCTCAGATCAGCGGATACTTCATGCAGAACGATTTTCATTAAACACATTCACATGTCGGCACACATTAGAAAAATGTCCAAAAGAATGATCATGTAAACGTGTAGAAATGTTTCCGTGTTCGATTATTTACTGTTGCCGAGAATATTTTTATTCAGGCGAATGCAAGGCAGCCATTGCGAAGGACCCCGCCCTTCTCTCTGATGCTATGAGTGTCAGCGTTGTGTTTACACAATAATAATATCTTTTTTTCCCTGTTGATAAATTATTTCTATTAATAAAATGCCCTTGTTTGAAGGCCTGGGCAGCGGAGGGGAGAAGACAGCCGTCGTCATTGATTTAGGAGCGGCGTACACAAAGTAAGTGACTGTTATTAGTGCGTCGAATGTAAATAAAGTCGATGTTTTAGTCAAATACGATATGAGACCTGCATGAGTTACACGCCCCGATTCATCAGTGCATTATTAAATTGATGATCATTAATCACTAACAAAAGTATTATGGTATACAGAATCAATGACGCAAACTCCATCACATAAGAGACACGGAAATGTGTTTGTGCTGATCTGGTTTTGTTCTCTTGTGTTTGTAATGTGCAGATGTGGCTTTGCTGGCGAGACTGGGCCGAGATTCATCATTCCCAGTGAAATTAAACACCCTGGATCTCAAGAGGTCTCATAATCTCCAGTTATAATCATAATTAATAAACTTAATCATATTTACCAGACAACATTTGCTGTAACAAAGGCTTTAAACCTTAATGTAATATGATCTATGTCAAAGTCAGCATTAAAGGGAAGTTATACAGGTCAAACTCGAAAAATTAGAATATCATACAAAAGTTAATTAATGTTCAGTAATTCAACTTGAAAGGTGAAACTAATATATTATATAGACTCATTACATGCAAAGTGAGATATTTCAAGCCTTTATTTGTTATAATTGTGATGATTATGTCTTACAGCTTATGAAAACCTTTTCACAATATTCTAATTTTGAATTTGGGGTTTTCATAAGCTGTAAGCCATAATCATCACAATTATAACAAATAAAGGCTTGACATATCTCACTTTGCTTGTAATGAGTCTATATAATATATTAGTTTCACCTTTCATGTTGAATTACTGAACATAAATTTAACTTTTGTATGATATAATTTTTCGAGTTTGACCTGTACACCTTTCTTTCCTATTGTGTGTGCCGATACGCTTCTCGAACGCATGTGGGCGGGGCTTGATTGTGTCTGTGGGGATTTGATTGGATGGTTGTGGTTTGCTATTGGCTGATCTCATGTGAGTGACAGGTTATAGCCCCGCCCACATCATCAGAGAAGAGAAGAGATGCTGCAAGAGGAACTGATTCTGATTCAACACTATTAACACAATAATGATGTGCACCGATATTAACATTTAACAATGCAATATTCCAATTTCATGCCGACTTTAAATGGCCGTGTCTCCAGGCTGTGCGCGTCGTCCAGTACAACATCAACACTGAGGAGCTGTACACCATCCTGAAGGAGTTCGTGCACCTGCTGTACTTCAGGTACGACAGTCAGCCATCAGGGAACAAATGTTGCATTTTGCGACTTTTTTTCCTGCCGGTTCGACTAAATTTTGTGTGAGGTCGTTTCCCAGCGGCTTGACTCGGGAAATCAGGAAAAACACTGAGTCATGAACGAGCCGGTTAAAGTAGGCCGATAACTGTAACTGTAACGATAACTGTGACGATAACTGTAACGATAACGATAACTGTAACGATAACGATAACGATAACTGTAACTGTAACGATAACTGTAACGGTAACTGTAACGGTAACTGTAACGATAACTGTAACGATAACGATAACTGTAACGATAACTGTAACTGTAACGGTAACTGTAACGATAACTGTAACTGTAACGATAGCTGTAACGGTAACTGTAACGATAACTGTAACGATAACGATAACTGTAACGGTAACTGTAACGATAACTGTAACGATAACGATAACTGTAACGGTAACTGTAACGATAACTGTAACGGTAACGGTAACTGTAACGATAACTGTAACGATAACTAACGATAACTGTAACGATAACGATAACTGTAACGATAACGGTAACTAACGATAACGGTAACTGTAACGATAACTGTAACGATAACTGTAACGGTAACGATAACGATAACTGTAACGGTAACTGTAACGATAACTGTAACGGTAACTGTAACTGTAACGATAACTGTAACGATAACTAACTGTAACGATAACTGTAACGATAACTGTAACGGTAACGATAACGATAACTGTAACTGTAACTGTAACGATAACTGTAACGGTAACTGTAACTGTAACGATAACTGTAACGATAACTAACTGTAACGATAACTAACTGTAACGATAACTGTAACTGTAACGATAACTGTAACCATGGTATTGTGGCAGAATGTTTTTTTCTTCATTATTCATCTCAGGGTTCATGCAACCTTTCCAAAGGCTTTCAAGTGCTTCACTTCATACTTTTTCCAGCTCTTCAAAGCCTTAAATATTATCCAATTTTAATGTTATTTTTAATGTGATGATTTAAAAAAAAAAACTAAAAGTCTTAAGATGAGTAAAACTAAAACTTTGTGGCAAACAAATAATTTTATTTAAAGTCCCCCTGTTGGGAAAATCCAGCTTTTAATGTTGTTTATAAGTCTATTTTTAATATGCTTTAAGACACACCATGTGTAAGTTCATAAGTCGACAGCATTGCTGAGTATTTCCTCCTTAAAACTGCAGTGAACCAAAGACAGCCTCAAAAACACGGTTTGAAATCGCTGGTGTTTCTGACGTCACAAACGACCTTGTAACCAATCAGATCAACGTGTGATCGTCAACCAGTGGATCTCTGAGCTGAGGGAGTGAGTGGAGGCGGGGCTCATTTGCATATTCATAGAGCCACACATACTAAATGAGGCAAGGGTGTCGAGTTACATTCAAGATATTTTAAGGCATGAATAATTCTTTTCCAAGGAAAAAACTCTTAAATGTGTAATTCTGGTGATCAGAGATGAGTTTTAAGGAATACAATTAGTGTATACAGGGGGACTTAATAAAAAGCCTCTAACTGGAAGATGGCGGCATAGGAGCACTTATTGACTAATGTTTGCCATTTACACTCCATAATATATGGAGAAAAAAGTGGGAAATCACAAAATCTCATGAAAAAGGAAAAGTTTTCTTCAAATTGTGACTGAATTACTCAGAAAGCAAGTAAAATGCGCTACTTCTATAATCGTGGAGGTGGTCGGTCAGTCCAGTGTGACGCTATAGAAAAACAACGGCACAATTACTAGGAGTATATTTACATTTTGATTTGATTAACTTTATTAATGCCACACTGGGGAAATTTCATTGTTACAGCAGCTCCAATAAGATACAAAATATAGGAATAGAATAGAGTAAAATTAATTACAATATTAATAATAAACCAACTGTATTTTCACAATAACCTTTTGTAAACAGACAATCTATAGACACAAATATACAAATAAATATGCGAATAAATAGAGGTAATATTGCACAGTTGGAAGTGACACAAAGTTAATAAATAGATACAAATATACATTTTCCCTATAAAAATGAGTTTTTTGCACAACACTGTTGTTAATAACAGTTAGTGCTTTACTGTCAAATTTCCAATAAACAAACATGTAATATTATTAGTAACCACGCTTATTAATGCAAAACAATAGTAGTTTTATAATTGAATTAACTCTGGAACTCTCTTCCCATGGATGTCCGCAGTAGCGAGTGCTTGTTGACTTGTAAAACGACTTGTAATGTCTTTTCATACAGGCTTTTTAATAACATGTTTTATTGAGACTTTACTGCACTTGATCTGTATACCCTGGGTGTTATGAAAGGCGCCATTAAATAAAATACATTTATTATTATGATTAAAAATCCCCCCAGAGCTAGTTAGTGGCTCTCAGATGCTGTTCTCGGCTCGGCTCATGACGAACACATGATGCTGTTTCTCCTCAGGCATCTGCTGGTGAACCCCCGAGACCGGCGCGTGGTCCTCATCGAGTCCCTCCTCTGTCCCTCACACTTCAGGGAGACGCTCTCCAGGGTCTTCTTCAAGCACTTCGAGGTGAGCTCGTCCTCCTCGGTTTCTGTTCTAGTCAGCTCTCCACTGGGGACTCGGCCACAGCTCGCTGACCTCAGATCAGAAGATCAGGGGATTCGTATCCAACAAACGAATCAGTCTGACATACGGATTCCCATTATGAAAGCCAGATTGACTCTGATCTGGGATTCCACACCCAGTTGAAACTTGTTATAATCTCGCAAATCTTGTTAAAATAGACTTGGTCTGAATGCTTAAACTTCCATACTGTGCTTTACTGTATTCCAGCCAGTCGGAGTGATCTGTTAATATAGAGTTAATTCATGTTAACAACTATTCTAGCAATGCAAGCAACATGCTATTTTTGTGGAAACTATATTATTTATAATGTTACAAAAGATTATATGTCAAGTAAAATGCTATTCATCAAAGAATCCTGAAAAATTAAATGTATGAGTTTCCACAAACATATCACTGTTTTCAACACTGATAATAATCATAAATGTTTATGAGCATCAGATCCTCATATTAGAGTGATTTCTGAAGGATCATGTGACACTGAAGACTGGAGTAATGATGCTGAAAATACAGCTTTGATCACAGGAATAAATTACACTTTACTGTATATTCACATAGAAAACAGATGATTTACACTGGAATAATATTTCACTGTTTTTACTGTATCAAATAAATGCAGCTTTGGTGAGCAGAAGAGTCTCCTTCACACTGTCCGGTTTACATCAGATCGGCTTCAACTGTTTTAAAATCTTCTCTTAAAACCTACTTTGTTTCTTCATCTTGTGTTTCGGTCAGCCATGTTTGCTGGTTTTAAATGCTCTTTTAAAAGCCGTGTGTGTGTTGCAGGTGCCGTCGGTGCTGTTCGCTCCGGGTCACCTGATGTCGCTCATGTCTCTGGGGATCCAGTCGGCTCTCGTCATGGATTGCGGATACACTGAGACGCTGGTCTTACCAGGATCCTTTCACAGCAAATACGCTTTAAAACTACTTTGAGTCGATTTACTGTCGTCCTGGGGTGTGTTTCCCGAAAGCATGGGAAATAACGGGTTACGTCGTTATCAGCAGTTCAACGAGTCGGTGTTTCCCGAAACCATCAAACATCCGCAAACAAGATCGCAGAGGTGTGTGTGAGCGACAGATCTCGAGCTGCGGTTAGAAGCAGAGTTTCTTGTTTGCATGACATCAGTGGCGCAAAAAGTGGGTATGCGCTATATGCGGCGCATAGGGGCGCAGCACCATGGGGGGCGCCAAAGCGATGGTAAAAAAAAAAAAATTAATTACAATTTAATTAATTAAAAAAAAATATATATATATTGTATTTTCTATATGTAGCTGCTGTTGTGCGTTTCTAAATCATTTCTGCATTTCTTCAATGTTATATAAAATTTTAGAGGACTAACAGGCTAGAGGCGCCCTCATGGAGAAGGGGGGCCGTGAGCTGTGAGTTGAGTTGTCGTCGAAAAAGATGGATAAAACAAAAGAAAATAGAAAAAGAAAGAAAAAGGAGATGGCATGTCAATTGATGCAACAGCAGCTAAATAAGTGCATGCTGAAAGCCAACAGGTAGGATTTAAAGTGTGACATCCAGGCATGTACACTCTAAACAATGCTGGGTTGTTTTAACCCAAATTTGGGTCACATATGGACAAACCCAAATGTTGGGTTAAAAATTTAATTAAAAATTTTAACCCAACTTCAACTTTCACTTTCAACTGTACATTTTTTAATTACATTTTTAACCCAACATTTGGGTTTGTCCATATTTGACCCAAATTTGGGTTGAAACAACCCAGCATTTTTTAGAGTGTAGGCTATCTATATCTCTGTGGCCATCGGGACTACCGGGAGATTCCCGGTAGACCGACGTGCTTTTTCGGCCGATACATCTTTTTTTTTTTTTTACGGCCCATAAAACTCGTACATCGGCAGCCCATTCGTGTTTTTTGTTTTTTGCTTAATTGGCGGCGCTGGGTTAGTGCCGGTGTAATGCATTGGTCAATTATCTTTATAGAAATGAGTACAAAACTAATTATGAAAGTTTCCTTTATTTTTCAGTGCATTTGTTTTACAATATATGGCTATTACTATCATGGGATTAATATTATAACTATTATTATGTAGTAGTGTAATGTAGACAGACACTAACTAAAAGAGGTTTGAATTTTTCTTTGCTTAATTTGCACCCTGAATATGGATTGGAGCTTTTAATTTTGAACTCTCAAAGTGCACCAGACTGCTGAATTTAACATTAAAGAACACAAAATGTTCTTACGGGGGGCTTGCCCCCGAACCCCCCTAGAGAAACAGAGGTCCACCTACCACAGTTTTACCTAAAATCCTGTGAGAAACACTGCTATTGCTGTTCCAATTGCTGTATAGTTTTTTAGGGGGATTCATCACGGTGGAGTAGCTATAGTTTAATTGTATTAATAAATGGCAATTTTGCACTTATTTTAGCTGTTAGCTCTCACTCGTTCCTACTCACTATTACATGGCACACTTATTTATTTATTTATTTATTTATTTTAAATGCATGACATGTGGACTCAATAAATCCTGATCTTGAGCAAAATAAGCAAGCTGACATTCAGTGCAACCGGTGTCTTTAATTTAGAAGACATACAAATGTCATTTACGTCTTTGAGTTTGTTCAGAGATTTAAAACGTCGTGTTTGAAGAGTGCGCGTGTGTGAACGAGCTCTAGTGTGTGTGAACGAGCTCTAGTGTGTGTGATCGAGCTCTAGTGTGTGTGAACGAGCTCTAGTGTGTGTGAACGAGCTCTAGTGTGTGTGAACGAGCTCTAGTGTGTGTGAACGAGCTCTAGTGTGTGTGAACGAGCTCTAGTGTGTGTGAACGAGCTCTAGTGTGTGTGAACGAGCTCTAGTGTGTGTGAACGAGCTCTAGTGTGTGTGAACGAGCTCTAGTGTGTGTGAACGAGCTCTAGTGTGTGTGAACGAGCTCTAGTGTGTGTGAACGAGCTCTAGTGTGTGTGAACGAGCTCTAGTGTGTGTGAACGAGCTCTAGTGTGTGTGAACGAGCTCTAGTGTGTGTGAACGAGCTCTAGTGTGTGTGAACGAGCTCTAGTGTGTGTGAAGGAGCTCTAGTGTGTGTGAAGGAGCTCTAGTGTGTGTGAACGAGCTCTAGTGTGTTAGAACGAGCTCTAGTGTGTGTGAACGAGCTCTAGTGTGTGTGAACGAGCTCTAGTGTGTGTGAACGAGCTCTAGTGTGTGTGAACGAGCTCTAGTGTGTGTGAACGAGCTCTAGTGTGTGTGAACGAGCTCTAGTGTGTGTGAACGAGCTCTAGTGTGTGTGAACGAGCTCTAGTGTGTGTGAACGAGCTCTAGTGTGTGTGAACGAGCTCTAGTGTGTGTGAACGAGCTCTAGTGTGTGTGAACGAGCTCTAGTGTGTGTGAACGAGCTCTAGTGTGTGTGAACGAGCTCTAGTGTGTGTGAAGGAGCTCTAGTGTGTGTGAACGAGCTCTAGTGTGTGTGAACGAGCTCTAGTGTGTGTGAACGAGCTCTAGTGTGTGTGATCGAGCTCTAGTGTGTGTGAACGAGCTCTAGTGTGTGTGATCGAGCTCTAGTGTGTGTGATCGAGCTCTAGTGTGTGTGAACGAGCTCTAGTGAGCTCTAGTGTGTGTGAACGAGCTCTAGTGTGTGTGAACGAGCTCTAGTGTGTGTGATCGAGCTCTAGTGTGTGTGAACGAGCTCTAGTGTGTGTGAACGAGCTCTAGTGTGTGTGAACGAGCTCTAGTGTGTGTGATCGAGCTCTAGTGTGTGTGAACGAGCTCTAGTGAGCTCTAGTGTGTGTGAACGAGCTCTAGTGTGTGTGATCGAGCTCTAGTGTGTGTGAACGAGCTCTAGTGTGTGTGATCGAGCTCTAGTGTGTGTGAACGAGCTCTAGTGTGTGTGAACGAGCTCTAGTGTGTGTGATCGAGTCTATGAGTGAATCTGGAAATAAAGCAAAATAACTGAGAAACATGAGAAATATTCCTCAGATGCATGTCTGTAATTTATAGCAAAGCATCTAGCGTTAATTTGATCTCAGACAGATTCATTAACAGTAGTTATTACTCCACATGTGTGTGACATCATTAACCAACGCGCCTGAACGACCAGTTTGCGACAGTACGGTTTCGGGAAACAGTCGAGACGAGCGAGATGATTTCTCCAACGACGCATCGCTCTATAGTAGTGAAGCACGAGTTACAGCGCTGTACGGGACACACACACCCTGATCATATTGTGAATGGCTCATCAGTGATGTTGTTGAAGGCAGGATGATGTGCGCGTTATACAGCACCGGTTGTTTCACAGCAGTTTACGATGATCAGGTTGGATGACTTTAACAGGCACTAGATCTACGAAGGCATCCCGATCCTGTCCGCATGGGAGGCTCTGCCAATGGCTGGAAAAGCCATTCATAAGTAAGTCCAGAGTGGCATGAATCGAGGCGGTGTGTAAGATAAAGCTGCTTGTGTTCTCACTGTGTGTGTGTGTGTGTGTGTGTGGTCTTTAGGGAGCTGCACGCTCTGCTGAGTGAGCAATGCATGCTGGACACCGACTCCGGCACTGGCCTCAACCCCGCCGTCATCAGTAAGAGACACACACACACACACACACACCCCATCTGACCCGTATTCTAGGGTTCCTTTCACCGCACATCCTACAGAACTATAATCAGTGTCACTATAACCATGACAGGGCTCCACATTAACGCTGGTCTGGGTCTGTGTAGTGTATAATAATTTTGTATACAGTCGAACTAAACATTATTCACACACCAGATATAATTTTTGACATGTTTCACTAGTGTGTGCAGGACACAATAGATCATTTATGTAAGTGAGGAGAGCAAAATAAAGGAAACTATGACATATTACACCCAATATCTCTTCATTTTATAAACATTTGGGAGCAAACATGATTCCTCCACTTTGAGCTGATGATGTTTTGCTGAAGTGTGTTTTCTGTAATCGCTAATGCTCTTTTTACACACACACTGAACAACATGAAGCATTGCTTGGTCACTGGTTGATCTAAACTGGTATTGTCTAATTGTGTAGTTAAATTTAACAGCTGACAGATATTCAACATAACTCATGTGTGAGAGTCTAACAGAAGGACGGACAAAACCAGTCAAATATCCTCTGAGTTCTGCTCATGTTTATCAACTATAGCGAATACACTGATAATGTGAGAGATGTTGAAGTGTGTGAATACACAGTGGTTTGACTGTATATAATTACACGTATGTATGTAATGTACACTATATGTAAATATCACAAATATGCAGATGTATATGTCAAAGCTGATAGAACACTGATGGGAATATTGCTTCAGGATAAATTATATTTACACCACAAAAATCCTGTTTTTTCCAGATAAAGTGAATGACTGATTTACTTGTGTAAAGGACAAGCACATTTCAGGTGCATTTGACATATTACTAAGTTATTCTGGCGTTTACTTGATGAAGTCGGCTCAGATTTGACACAGAAAGACTCGTGAAGCTCGAGTGGAGGACGGACGTTTGTTCAATTACACTAAAAGACTTTTACTGGATAAAAGAGTCTATCTCTCGATCAGAGACAGAAGGACGGCAGGAGATCGAGTGTGACAGCGAGTTCTGATCATTTAGAGGCCTTATTATATATATATAATGGCTTTATAATACCGTACTTGTTCTGGCTTGCCGTCTGATTATGTGTTGGTGTTTGTTGCAGGCACTATTCCAGAAGAGGTAGTGGAGGATATCAAAGGTGTGTCATATAGAGATGCTTTTCTTACTTCCCCGTGCATAAAATCAAGACCGGCTTTACATTTATTCTTGCAAAAGCAGTTCCCTCAGAAATCTGTGAAGTAAAATGGGTTAAACAGTGTGTTCTGTTGGCTGAGGACTAACCGAGGTGTGTGTGGTCTGGTCAGTGCGCACGTGTTTCGTCAGTGACTTGCAGAGAGGAATGAAGATCCAGGAGGCCAAGTTCAACATGGACGGGTCAGCCGAGGTCAGAGAGCTCTTTAAACTACACTTATACGTGTGACTGATGTAAATATGAGCACACACACACTCCTCAACACAACACAACCTCCAGCGTGCTTTCAGGTCACACGAAGGACCTTTTAACGTAAATAGACAACATTTTATACTTATTTTATTGTTTAACTGATGTATTCAAGAAAGATTCAGCTGAACGTATTTTTGAAGTTTTGACATGTATTTTAATCTTAAATGTTTTTGCATAGTTTAATTGTGGGACTTTTGTTATTCACATTATCCTCCTCTATAAATAATGTTTAAATATATATATATATATTAAAGTTAAAATGAATAAAATTTCATTTTGGAATAAATTTGGGGGGGGGGGGGGTACAGATACAGTCAGGATTAAATTGAATTAAAACAATTTTTAATTCTATTTGTTTTATCAAGTCAGTTGTTTCTTTATTTTCCTATTGTTTTATTTATTTATGATTTCTGCTGGTTTGGGTCTCCAATGGTGCTTGCCATGATAAAAAAAAAAAAAACATGGTGTTTAAAAATAAAAATAAATCAAGATTACATTTTTAACGAAACATAAAATTCCTTATCAAACGAATACAATAATACTTTAGTGAAATGTCCCGTCTTTATTCGATTTTTTTTATAAATATAGTTTTTCTCATTTACCAAAAACATATTTAAGCGTGTATTAAACACACAAGTTGATACATAATATATATATATGTAAATATTCACTTTATTCTACTCTATAAATAAATATAGAAATTAAACAATGCATACAAATATATAATGTCAAAAAATTTATAATAATTTTTAAATAAATACGAAAAAATAAATGAAGGAATAAATACAGAAAAATTCAGGATTAAATTTAATTAAAAATGGATTATATTTGTTTTATCAAGTCAGTTATTAACGCGTCACAAGAGTTGATACATTAACTCTGACCTGCTTATTTGAACTGTGTAATGGAAGTGGAATTAATTAACGTCAGTTGTTCTGATTGGTCCGCCAGAGACCGGCTCCGCCTCCAGACGTGGAGTATCCGCTGGATGGCCAGAAGATTCTGCATGTCAAGGGTTTCATCAGGTAAAGACCTTCACACCACATGATCTGCTTTCCCCGATTCACACAGCTGAAGGTCACATGTTTGAGCCGAGAGTAATGAGCGGCAGGACTGACACGTTCTGCCCGTCGCCTCGGCTTTCGGCTCTCGGCCCTCGGCTCTCGGCCCTCGGCTCTCGGCCCTCGGCTCTCGGCCCTCGGCTCTCGGCCCTCGGCTCTCGGCTCTCGGCTCTCGGCTGGTAATCTGACCCACACTAATCTGACGCTTCTCCAGAGACTCTGTGGCGGAGATGCTGTTCGAGCAGGATAACGAGGAGAAGTCCATCGCCACGCTAATGCTGGACACGCTGGTCAAGGTAAGAAGTATGAGGTCCTCAGGTCAGCCTGTTGTGTGTCGGGGCAAACTCAGTCGGATGAATGAGTCCTGAAGAAAAGTTCCTTCTAATGACAAGTGCAATTGAAAAATCATATGTCGATTGTTTGAAGTGATGCACCGGAAATTAATCTTTTACTGAAACACTGAAAATTAATTAATTTATTCAGTCAATTAATCATCACATTTATTTAATAGTCAAACTGAGTTGCTTATTAACGTTTAAATGACACATAATGAAACTTTTTATGATGTAATTGTTTCTAGTCCAATTCGTTGTTGAAATATAAACATTAAAACGGTGGCTGTAATAACTTGTTTTCATGACGGATTTATTCAAACATACATTTAATAATGAAGAAAACCGATGAAGTGATCGAGTGCATGTCAGTGCCAGAACGGTCCTCTAGAGTTACTCTTCTGTGGAGTTGATGGACACTGAAAGGCTTTTCTGAGGATAATGTGACGTTTGTGTTTCTTTTCCCAGCATTCACCTTGTTTATTTACTTGTGCAAACGAATGAGAATTTGCTGGTATGATGTGCACTAGATAATGTGGAGGTTGAACAAGTACTTTGAGGATTTCAGTTGTGATCTGAGAAATGTCCCAAAGCCACTGAGAAAAACTGTAAACATCAACGATTTTGCTCAAAAATGTTTCATTTGTTGCAAAATGTTGCATCTTTAATTGCTTAGTTTGTTTATTATATGCATTACTTGTTTATTTACACTACCAGTCAAAAGTTTTGGATTGGTAAAATTTTCAGTGTTTTTAAAAGAAGTCTCTTCTGCTCACCAAAGCTACATTTATGTGATATAAAACCACAACAGTTATATTGTGAAATATGATTATTATGTAAATCAGCTGTTTTCTAATATACAGTAAAGTGTAATTTATTCCTGTGATCAAAGCTGAATTTTCAGCATCATTACTCCAGTCTTCAGTGTCACATGATTCTTTTACTATATATTAAAATAAAAGTTATTTTAAATTGTCACCATATTTAACAATATTACTGCAGCTTTGGTGAGCAGAAGAGACTTCTTTTAAAAACATTAAAAATCTTACCGATCCAGAACGTTTGACTGGTAGTGTGTGTATAATCACAAAGCAACACGCTAGTATCATCCACCCTGCCTCTCTTTTCCCAGCATTCACCTTGTTGATGTGTGTTTCGTTTGTACCACACTAGTGTCCCATCGACACTCGCAAGGTTCTGTCAGAGAACTTGGTGATCATCGGCGGCACGGCCATGCTTCCCGGGTTCCTGCCCCGCCTCCTGGCGGAGATCCGCTCGCTGGTGGAGAAGCCGAAGTACCATGATGCTCTCGCGACCAAGAGCTTCCGCATCCACAGCCCGCCCGCTAAACCCAACGGCACCGCCTGGCTCGGAGGTGAGCGCCGACACCACGGCTTTCCAGACTCCTGACCCGCATGGGACGGGAAATGATTTGGGTTTCACTTTTTTTGATGGTCCCTTTAAGCCTAGTTCACACTACATGATTTTAAAACGTCGGGCTGAACTGTGCGGTTCACACTACATGACTTGCTCTCTGTGAAATCAGGAGTGTTCAAGTTGTTGAGCTGTTCACACCACACGACACGACGTGATTGATCCGCAACAGGAGGTAACGCACTACATGAGTTGACAACAACTCTGTCACCCAACGATTCTATCTTGTCTACAAACCATGTTTTGTCACGAAAAATCACGCGATAAAACGAACCGGAAATGACGCGAAACGGCACGCGCGCCAATACCCAGCGAAGAAGAACACAACACGCGAACATGCCTTGCTCTGATTGGCTGTAGCTCATGACATCACGTGAGCTTGAGTCGTGCGACAGCTCTGGATATCTAGCATGCTAGATATTTTTCTGGGCTCGGCGACGCGTCTGCGAGCGTCTTTGATGCGTTGTTGGCTCTTTCATGCTAACAGATTGGCGAGCGTTCATCGCCCGCTAATCCCCCGCGATTTGCACGCGATAACACCCTGACCTGTCGGCGAGCTCAACGATTTGCAAAACGGGCTTAAATCGGGCTTAAAATCATGTAGTGTGAACTAGGCTTTAAAGGTGCAGTCTGTAAGAATGGCAACTAGTGGTCGGAATAGGTACTGCAGTCGAACTCAAAACATCAGAGATCGTCGTTTGTCCCGCCTCCGCGGACTCGACACGGCTCACACGGTTCGCCAGTTTGAGACACGCAACAGGAACGAGCGCGTGCAGTATCACAGACCAAAACAATAACACACATTCCATTAGCGGTGGAACGGTTCATGTATTCGTATCGAACCGAAACGGTACGGGCGTCACGGTTCGGTGCACGAATTTACACGGAGAATACACGGTATAAAAATAAATAAAACTCCCGTTTAAATTAAATTAATGCGGAACTACTGTTAGATACGCGGGTTCTTTAGGGACACATAATCTGTACCATCGGCTTAGCGCGTTCACTTCAAACGTTGGCTTTATACGCGCGTCCTATTCGCTTTGGACTAGCGTCGAACTAGACGCCATAGACGCGAATTTGACGCTCTATTCGCGTTTGGTGTGACCGCATAATGGGCTGCGATGTCAAGATTGCAATGCTGGAGTGTGTGTGTGTGCGCGCGAGAGAGAGAGATGCACGGGCGCGATCGAACTGTGTGTGTGTGTGTGTGTGTGTGTGTGTGTGTGAGAGAGAGAGAGAGAGAGAGAGGCGCGGGCGCGATCGAACAGTGGAAACATAAAAAACATTACCAAAGGTACAATTACCAAACATATCGCAAGGTCTTTTTATTAATTTAATTAATAAACTAATTATATAAAACTATTGTCAGTGCACTACAAATAAACTGGTTCTATGCCTTTAATAATAAAACTTATTTAAAAAATACAATGCCTTCTGCATTTTTGTTTTGCTTTTCCCTCCATTGTACCGAACCGTGATGTCTGAACCGAGGTATGAACCGAACCGTGACTTCTGTGTACCGTTCCACCCCTACATTCCATTTCAGAGTAAAATGACTGTGTGTAAAAGTGTTTTTCAGAGAAGCGAGTGTGTGAACTCAGCATGTTTCCTCAATATATGCAAACATATGTTATTTTTATGCTTTAGTAGAGTGAAAAAGTTACACACTGCACCTTTAAAGTGGAAATGAAGCAGTCAGTCAAGTTTACATAATTTAGTAAACTGATTTCCACTTTATAAAAAAAAAATAAACACGATTAATGTAACCATTTTAAAGAAAAGGGATGTTTTGTTATAGCTTTTGGAGCAAGGGTGCCGTCATCTCGACGTTACGTCACAGGGTTGGTCGTCTTGCTGAGGTACATAGATATAGTACGTCTCTCCGAGTGGGAAAAAAATCGCACCGTGTGCGCCCAGCTTAATATAAGCATTTCTTTACTTTTTGAACACACGTTGTTCTCAAATGGAGGAAGACGGACTGGAAAGGACTGTTGAGCCCGTAATAAGTCCAATTGCTTATTTGAGCCGATACGGCGAGTTGACCGTCAATTTGCCACTTCTGTCATTCAAAGTGACATCAAAAACCTCAAATCCCTTTACTCTAAGGCTGTGGTCAGCGCTGGTCTAAAAGAGTCGTCTCTATTCTCTTAATGAGTCACGGGTGTGTTTTGGGCGTAACGTGCAATAAACCAATCAGAGTCTCGTCTCACATTCCCTTTAGAAGCCAGTTGCGCTCGCGCCGCGGCGGATTCACTATTGACATGGAGGAATTTGTGTAATAAGCAGAGTGTGTGTGTGCAATAGGCAGAGTGTGTGTGCAATAAGCAGAGTGTGTGTGTGCAATAAGCAGAGTGTGTGTGCAATAAGCAGAGTGTGTGTGTGTGCAATAGGCAGAGTGTGTGTGCAATAGTTAGAGTGTGTGTTTAATAAGCGGAGTGTGTGTGTGTTTAACAAGCGGAGTGTGTGTGTGTGTAATAAGCGGAGTGTGTGTGTGTTTAACAAGCGGAGTGTGTGTGTGTGTAATAAGCGGAGTGTGTGTGTAATAAGCAGAGGGTACACGCGTTGTGGACCCGCTTATAGGCTCAAATTACTAACACTCTAGACTTCAGCCCAGGTCTCAGTTGGTCAACGGCTCAGTCTATTTCAGTTCCTCAAAACAGCAACTCTCCTGAACACACACTCGTTCTCAGACCAGCAGCCCATGGACACACATGCATTCGCTATTTAAACAACGTGTCGCAGGACGTGAAAATGAAAACTGCGTCGGGCTGAAACTAGCGAAACACACTTGCGTTGCACCGAGTGTGTGATAGGGGCCAGTGTGTTTTCTGCCGTTTACTCAAGGCTGCTCTGTTTCCTCCCGTGTAGGTGCTATATTTGGGGCATTGCAGGACATTTTAGGGAGTCGCTCGGTGTCCAGAGATTACTATAACCAGACGGGCCGCGTCCCAGACTGGTGCTGTCTCAGCGCTCCTCCACCGGACTCCGTCTACGAGGCGGGCAAGACGCCTCCGCCGCTCATGAAGAGGGCCTTCTCCACTGAGAAATGAACTCCTAAACTCTGGACATGTCACACACACCCTCCTGCAAACCCTGTGTCTGCTTACAGCGGTTCCTGACGGGAACATACTAGAACACACACTGCCCTTCAAAAGATTGGAATCGGTGAGATTTTTAATGTTTTTAAAATAAGTCTCTTCTGCACACCAAAGCTGTATTTATTGGATAAAAAAAATATATATATTTTTAAATATTATGACAATTTAAAATACCTGTTTCTATGTGAATATACAGTAAAGTGTAATTTATTCCTGTGATCAAAGCTGTATTTCAGCATCATTACTCCAGTCTTCAGTGTCACATGATCCTTCAGAAATCACTCTAATATGAGGATCTGATGCTCAAGAAACATTTATGATTATTATCAGTGTTGAAAACAGATGTGTACAAAAATAAATCAGGATTCTTTGATGAATAGAAAGTTGAAAAGAACAGCATTTATCTGAAATATAATCTTTTGTAACATAAATGTCTTTACTGTCACTTTTATCAATTTAATTTATCCTTGATGAGTAAAAGTATTGATTTCTTTTATTTTTTCCCCCCAAAAAAGTTAATATAAATTCTTACTGACCCCAAACTGTTGACCGGTAGTGTTTAATGTTACAAAAGCTTCTGTTTCAGATAAATGCTGTTCTTTTCAACTTTCTATTCATCAAAGAATCCTGAAATAAAAATGCAAGTAACTGTTTTCAACACTGATAATAATCATAACTGTGTCTTGAGCATCAGATCCTCATATTAGAGTGATTTCTGAAGGATCATGTGACACTGAAGACTGGAGTAATGATGCTGAAATACAGCTTTGATCACAGGAATAAATTACACTTTACTGTATATTCACATAGTTTTTTTTTTTTAATCAAATAAATGCAGGCTTGGTGAGCAGAATAGACTTATTTTAAAAATATTAAAAATCTTTAAAACTTCATCCAAATCCAAAACTTTTGAACAGCAGTGTATCTGATTGAGTCTGTAATAGTCTAAAGCAGGGATTCTCAACACTGGCCTTCGAGATCCAGTCCAACCTTAATCAACTCGTAATCCTGAGACCTTGAGGAGCCTTTACAGCTGTTCGATCAGAGATGCAGCAAAATCTGCAGGAAAGTGGACTTGAGGGCCAGAGTTGAGAAACACTGGTCTAAAGTCGGCCATATTATTTTATTTCAGCTTTACTTCATTTTTAATAGTAGGTGCAAGTAAAACCACCACCATCACTGCAGGCTTCTGCTTCACTCATGACAGATCTTCATCAACTGTTTCCAGAGCATGACATTTATCCAACCTAAACCAGAAGTGACAAAAAGCTTCTTTTTTATTATTATTTAAATGTATGCTTGTTCCTGCACCATCAAAGACAGAACACGGAAGGCCACTTGACCATAGTGTCAAGAAAATGCATCCCATTTCAATTATATTTAACAACCAGTTTGAAGAGCTGAATATGTTGAAAATGTTGCCGTATTTATTAGGTTTGTGAAATAAACATTTCAAAATGGGGTCTTCTATTATATTTCTACATTTAAGTGTTATATATCTTTAACTTAAGACTTAGTCATGGTAACTCTAATTGCTCCTTGTATCAATCATTTTTCCTAGAGAAATTTTGTGGAATTTGTTTTGAGATAATGTAGGACGGTTGCATAAACTGCTTAAGACTAGTTCTTAAAGTCACCCAGTGGTCAATAACTGTATCCGTTTAAGGGGACACAAACTGGAAAACCAATTTCCCTTGGTCTTTTGACAGGTAAGAGGTCGTTATACTATAAAAAATACCCTGTAATTTTCAAAAGTCAAAACTTCCTTGTTATTCCAAAAACTGATTTTATTGAAATGGATGCTGCGTCCCAATTCGCATACTATCCGTCCTAAATAGTGTTCGAAAATAGAATTAGTACGTCCCAAATCGTAGTATGTTGAAATGAGTGTCCCAAAGAGACCCGGATGGTCTACTATATCCGGTCAGAATCCGAAGTGCAGATCGATGCGCACTCTAACGGCTGATATTGCCCACAACCCATTGCGCGTTGGACGAGGATTCGGCTAGAACTACAAACACGAATGAAAAGTGTTCAAAAACTACAGACATGGAGGACGCGCGAGTCCGGCGGTTATGTAGAGAGGTTTAGATAAAGGGGTTTGAGACAGTGATTAATTATCAGTATCTAACCTGACGAAAATGTATTTATTCAATGTTGTCCACATTATATTGCATCTGCAGCAGCATTGTGAACTTTTGCAAAGATACGTTTAGCCATTAACTTTTAAATGCATTATTATATTCAAATTCCAAACACATGAGGAGAGTCTCCGCATGAAAGACCCACAACTGGCAGATGAACGTGCGACAACAATTCTCTCCGAAATGGTAAGAAGTTATATTAGATTGAATGGAGGATTTGAACTGTGACGAGATGATTGACAGGGCAGTTTACGGTGATAGGATGCACGCGACAGATCTGTCCGTTAAAGATGACGAAGTAGTATGTCCCAAAGCTTGCCTACTCTTTTGCTACACACTCAAAAGTATGAACTTTTTCTTCACAAAAAGAGTACATACTTTTAGGGTGTAGTATAAGTAGGCGAATTGGGACGCGGCACAAGTCTGTAAAACGACAGCATCTGAGAAGTTATTGGTATTCGGTGCATTTCACTGTGGATTATTTGGTAAATCAGTCGTAGTTTCGGCGCATGCTTTGCTAACAGACTTTTACGATATGTATCTGCCAGCAACGCCACAAACATGTAAGTAATCACGTTTATTCTAATGCCTGATCTGTGATCAGTGATTTCTGATGTGTAATTATCAGAGCCGGTCCGAGCCTTTTGGGGGCCAGGGCCGGCGCTCCGCACACGCACATCACGCGCTGCGCGTAGGGCACCAAGTGCTTGGGGGGGGGCACCAAAAAATCTGGGTCGTGAAAAATCATCACAATAGGCTACTAGTATAAATAACAAATAAAATATGTCTAAAGCATGTTAATATACAAAAGCAATACAAAAGTAATATAGACCTTGACCAAATTAGTCGAGAAAAAAGGTGAATCTCCTTTTTCGTCTCCCTCTGGTGCCCCCCCCTTCCCCACCTCCCAGTGGTCTGTTCGATTATGCCTCAATCAATGTCAAATTTGGCAGACACCGATCTCAGACATGGCCTCGGAAAGGCACCAAGAGTCGGGGGCGAAAAAAGAATAGACAGCGGGATGATACTCGCGCGTCGGTTTGCAGGTAAGACAATGGTTTAAATAAAAATGTTAGTTTTGTAGCGCGGGCGCCCTTGCGTCGTGTATGCACGTCCAGGGGGGCGTCGCTAGTGGTGCAAATGAAATGATCCGGGGCTTTTTTAGCCCTGCATGTTGAATCTTTTATTTTAACGGGGGTCCGGAAAATTTTGAAACTTGGGCTGTTTAAGATGCAGTTAGTTTGTTTGAGAAGAAAAGGAAGACCGCTTAGATACGTTTTTTCGTTGTTGTTTTATGCGGATAATGCGTTCATTTTCAAGAGGTTCATAGGCCAAGGCCCAAGGGCGACATCTGTTGGTGAAACTGCAATTAGAAAAAAAAAAAAAAAAAAAAACATTCTCAGTGTTTGTATATTTTCATATTCACAGAGTTGTTAAATTATTAGGGCTGGGAAAAGATTAATCGCATCCAAAATAAAAGTTTGTGTCTACATGATATATGTGTGTGTACTGTGTATAATTATTTTGTATATATAAATACACACACATATGCACGTATATATTTAAGAAATATTTGCATGTATATACTGTATATATAATTTATATTATATATAAATTTAAATATTTTATATATAAATAACAAATATTTCTTAAATACATACATGCAAATGTGTATTTATATATATACAAAATAATTATACACAGTACACACACATATATCATTCATGTAGACACAAACTGTTATTTTGGATGCGATTAATCGCGATGAATCTTTTCCCAGCCCTACAAATTATGTACAGAATTATTATATTGTGCTTCATCAGACTAAGAAATTCTGAATGGTTGTTATTCCTTGGGTGGGTGGGTGGGGGGGTGAGGGGCACCACCAAGCATTTGTGCTTAGGGCACCCAAATGGCTAGCGCCGGCCCTGTTGGGGGCCCTAAGCAGAATTTGATTTGGGGGCCGCCTCCCACTACGCAAAGTCCCCTGTGCTTGACGATTATTGACACAAATGTCACGCAATAATGATACATTATGAATGAATACAGTAAGGTTATGTATTAATACAAAATAAATAGGCCTACTTTTTTTTCCAACAATATGTTTATTTGTCTTTTTTTTTTTTTTTAATGACATACAACAAAACCCCCTCTCAGACACAAAAAACAATGTTACCATATATAAAATGTTATATCCGTAATGTCTTTTGACACAAGTTAACAGAGACCAACCATCTCCCAAAGAGCAGGTCGCGGACTGTAAAAATTATTCATGAGCGTCGTCCTCCTCTTGATCTTCTGTTAAGTCTGTGCCTTCTGCAAAAAGCATGAAAGGTCTCCAAATACTATCAAACAAGTCCTTTTTTCCTTTTAGCAAGTAAGTGATGCGTTCCAATGGAAGTGTAGCCAACATCTGCTTAACCCATTGTCCAATACTTGGTCCTCTTATGTTTTTCCAGTGCAGTGCAATCAACATTTTAGCTTGCAATAAACATATATCAATGAACGTCTTCTCGCCTTTTGTATATCCTGCGTGCTTGGGATATAAGCCTAAAATTATAAAAGAAGGTTCCAGAGGAAGGTCTTTAGAAATTATATCCTTCACAGATTGCTTTATTGCTCCCCAAAATGTCCTTATTTCTCTGCATTCCCAAATACAATGAAACAATGTTCCCTTTTCTTCTTCACACTTTGTACATATGTCTGGGATATTTGGATTGTATTGGTTTAATTTGGCAGGAGTAACATAAACACGCATTAGCCACTTGTATTGTAATAATCTCAACCTAGAATTTACAGTTTGCTTATGTGCTTTACTACAAGCCAATTCCCACTCGTCTAGTGATACATTTTTTTGTAGATCTTTCTTCCAGGCT